TTTTTTTTTTTTTTTTTTAAACATTTTATTAGAAAAACAGACAAAAGCAGGCAGTCTAAAATGACCCCAACAGAGGCCTCACAGAAGCAAATACAATGTAAAATTTTGAAGGATTACATAATACCAACGTGATGACTGACATCATATTCAACTTCACTTAGACTGTAGCCAGTATTGGCCAACTTGACACAGTGGTATCTATCAAAAACAAATTACACATTGCTTCTTACATGCATACAGGTTCAGTCATCAGGTACATAAACCAGAAAAACAAAAAATGCAGCGCAAACCACCTCTCCCCTCCATATCCCTTACACAAACCCTCACCCACCCATTCTAGCACAAAGTCCCTTGGAACAACCCCCTGAAGTCCAGCCCTTGCCACAACTTTGCATCCCCTCCTTCTGTCTTATCCCTTTGCCTACCTCTATAAAACTCCAGCTCGTGCATCCCTAAATATAAACACTCTTCCGTGGAAAAACATGACCCCTTTAGCGCCAACAGTGAGCGCACTTTCCATACTACTACTTTGGTGCATGCGATCAAAACCCTCGCCCCCCCATGTCCCATCCGTCCCCTCTGATAACCCATATAAAATATTTGAGGGTGATCCCCATTCCCCTTCCCATATCCTTCAAATGGATGGCTACCTGTCCCCACACCTGTCGTGCGTAGAAACAGTCCCACAGCGTGTGTGGCACCGACTCAGGCTCATCAACCTATGTTCAATTTTGATCTGAAGAAAAGGAACATACAAGAAGTGGATGGTTAACCATAGGCAGATCTAGGATTGGAAAAGGAGGATGCAGATAGCATGGTGCCTCATCATATATTAAACAACAATTTTTTTACAGTTACTAGTTACTTTAAAAAGCAACTAGAAGCATTACTGATAGGCTAGGGGCCTAGGGCTGTACTATTCAATTTAAGATGAGAGCAAAAACAAAGGATGCGGACAGCATCGAGAGGGTCCAGAGGAGGGCCACTCGTATGATCAAGGGACAGCAGGGTAGGTCCTGTGGCGGGTGCAGAGATCCCACCTCAGGAACACAGCTGGGTATTCGTATCCCTCCGCTGTTTCCACCACATGAGGCGGGCCAGTAGGGGGTGCTCCTGCATCGAGCCACCCACCTCCCTGCACCCGACCACCTTCCAGGCTCCGAGTGCCTCCCTAGGGGCGCCTTATGTCCGGCCGACCCCTCTCCC